TGAACATTTTTAAACATCAAGAATTTTGCAATTCTCCAAATTTCTATTTTGGTTTTAGACGCAAGTCTTTATGTTTTGAATATTTTGTAGTTTCCTCTCCAAGAAATATTTTGCCTGCTAGGTTACCCCCACTTACCCCAACATCACTCTCACACCCCTGATGAGAATCACAAGCGAGATTTGAAAGCCTCATCCTCTTTCTCTTGTGATTTGCGAAACGACATGACACGTTTCTTTCTCGCTCCGATAGACAGGAGGCTGGTACGTCCTCCAGATTCTCCTACTGAAAGCTGCTTTGGAATCTTCATAACTTTAAATTCGTTTCTTATTTTGCCCTTCTGTAACATGTTTTGGTAATATATTCATTATTTGCTTTGTTTGTTTGAATTCTGTGTTTTGTATTTGCTTTTAGCGGGACTCACATGAGTCCGCTAAATATTGTCTGTGGGACTAATGTCTCAAGATGTATAAAATGAATAACTTCCATTCTTGCATAATGCCTACCTCCTTTTCCAAATCTTTTCGCGTAGTAAGTGATATTGTGTGCAAAGTTTTATAGTTTTTAAATTATTTCGTAAACATTTTTTAAATTTTATTATTCCATTCTCCTCATTTTTTTTTTCACCTGTTTTCATACTGGGAAATCCCAATTGTCTATGCGTCCTTTATTGTTTATGTTAGCATATAAACTACTGGATTTAATGTGACATGATCGACATTTTATGCTGAAATAATTTCATAAAAGACAAACTAGAACATTTGCGGTGTGACTTTGCGAGGCTTTGGGGATATAAATCGGATGACAGAAAATTTTTATAACAAAATTGGTTTTGAAAGATTCGGGTCTAAACAAGACACGCAACCCGACATATTCAGTTAAGACCTGATAAAATAAATATTTAAATCTATCCTTTTAAGTAAATTCTTATTGTAACCAGCCTTATATAAACTTTTAGGTTGGAAAGAAAATCCTCTTGCATTTTCGACATGGGAACTTTGAATGTACTTTTTCAAACAATCAATCGACCACGAGTCCTGTAAACCATTAGACTCGTAGAAGCACAACATGCACTCCAGCGGCAGTAGCAGTAGTGTTTACTGTACAAGATAGCGTGACGGAAACCAACACTCTCCAGGCTGGTTTGAATTAAGAGTTTTCATTTTCCTAGACTAGATTCAAAACAATACTATACGATCGAGGCACGGCTGGAGACGAATATCCAACAAATTCCCGAAGCAAACTACCCAGGTATATCCTGTGCTCACTATATATAGTTACTGATGTAGTCAGTCCACATAGGCGATAGGGAATGTGGGACATTTCATTACAACATTACAGACCCTTATTTGAATCTTGTCAAGAATCTCGAGATATATAGTAAAACCACCAGAACAGATATGGCAGCCATTTTTAATACACTGAGGGCAGGATGAATTCTGACAAGAAAGATTATGTCACGACACAGGGAACCGATTTAACTAGTCGTAGACCTAACAGTTGGTTCAATATAATCACTTTACTTCAGATCAGTGAGCTCTCAGAAGGCGCTAAGAGTTGCTCACTTGGTGGTTAGCATCAGCCATACTGACGGCAGATAGAAAAGGTTCTCTCTGGAGATCAAATGAAAGCAGTTTTGTTTTGGAAGCGTTAAAATTTACAAGTCATTCCTTGCCCCAGGTAGCCACTGATCGGGGTGCGCTTTTCGTGAACAGATTCCAGTTTTAATTTGGCGGACCTGTCGTACTAAGACAGGAATTAAGAGTTGTGTCATTAGTATAAGCACGTAGCTGGGAACTACCGGGAATCTGAACTTCATCTATATAAAAAAAAATTGTGTGTGTGTGTGTGTGGGGGGGGGTGATGGACCTATATAATAAATGCGAATGTCAGTGTGTCACACTTTTCAACTTTACTCCTAGAGGCCGTAGCCAAACATATAAAACCATTTTCGAATCAGGCCGAATCCGTGAGCAAAGCAAAAACATTTCGGACCGGATCCGAACAGGCAATCCTGAAATTTTGGATTCCCAAGCTTTCATTACTGCAATTGTTTTTTCTTCTTTTTTTTTTCATGTGAGGTTTTTGCAACGAATTTTTTGTACGATAACAATTTTTATAACTTGGAGAAAATTGGGAATAATCGAAATTAATTGCGAAATCCAGCAAAAGTCATCCATGAAATAAAAAAATAATTGTTTGTACAAAAAGTAAGGACCTACGTACATCAAATTGTCTTTAAATTAAGTGGTGACAGAAGAATTATCGTAAGTAAGGTTAAATATTAATGCAATACTTAAATGCAGTGATCAATTTTGAGTTCTTCTGTAGTTTATTGTTGCCTATCGCATCTACTCCTCCCTACTTATTTTGATGAAGGCCTAATCAAGCACCCTCCGCAGGAGCTAGTTTAAATGCCGCCCCGATAGTACGGCTTTTAAGCTAGTATGGTATATTTATCATATACGTATATCCTGAAACATTTACCAACGACTGTTACTTCCTATAAATATGGAAGATATTGCATCATAAAAATGTAATTTGAAAATTACAGACGCCCAAACGACCAATCCTATGTGCGGTTAAACATTTTAAGTGTCGTTCGCGTGATTCGAAACTTAAGCATTAATCATAATAGTATTCGTTAATTACATACATAACATTTTTGGATTGTTTAAGTTAGGTTAACTTCTTAAAAGATGTGTGACAACGCACGTACACAATTTTCGCCAAGTAAAAAAGGAAAAAGAGAAATCCTCTTGAGATTCCTGATTTGACTTTTATGAAAGTCAATTAAACTGCGTGCAGGACAACGCAGCACCGCCGACCGAACACTGCCAACCCAACACCGCCGACCGAACACTGCCAACTGAGGACCGGGACAACTCAGGATCGCGACAAATCAACACCAGAAAAACGTAACTGTTTTTATAACCAAATAAAAGTAATTTATCAAGAATCAAAACATTAATTAATGAATATTTTTTCTTCAAATAAAGCATTCGAAAAGGCATTATGTAAAATATGAGCCAGATTTTGCTTTTAATTATTTTTAATAAATTAAACCGTAAACCTTACTGTAAAAAAAAAGAAGAAATGAAAAACGGACTGCTGTCATCTTCTGTATATGTCCTGTGAAGGTTAAATTTTCCAAGCCTTTCTTCCTCATTATGTGTCCAAAAATTTCCAACTTTCTCTGATTTTTAGTATAAGTGTCCATTTTATTTTCATTTTCTTTAAGATTTATTCATTGATTACCAGCTCCGTTCATGGAATTCTCAATATCCTTCTGTAGAACGACATTTCTGTTGTCGGCAGTTTCCTTTTCATATGTGGGAAGATTGTTCAGTATTCTCTTCCAGACAAGGGGACAGATATCATATAGCAATTCAACAGTATTTTATTTATGTTTAAATGTGCTATATGAATTCTGAGGAGAGGAGAAAGATTTTCAGTTCAATGTTGACATCTTCAAATTGCAATTCGCATCTGGGGCTTTTTCTCTTGCTGTCTTCTTCCATAGAATGGCTAGTCCGTTTTTCGCGATTTCCTTTAAAAAAAAAAAGTAATGATCTTTCAAAACAAGGAACAGCAAGCAACAGATGTTATAATTAAATGAGTTGTTCAGTTTAATATCTTCATCTTTGTTATTTTTATTCAGTTTTAGTCAGTTCATCATTTCTTTCCAAATCCAGGAATTTAAAATTAAATTTATTAGATTGTTTTTATCGATCCGATGCCCTTTCCAGGCATTGGAAATCATAATTCTCCACAAATTCCTGTTTTTTTTTGGGTTTTTTGCTTTAAGTAACCTTTGACAGTTTAGAGTTTGTCTTTGTTCTGTCATCGATTCACTCCAACACGTCAATATTGAAAACTTAGCCAAATTACAGTAATTGGTGTATGAAAATTGCCAGTCTAGAGAATCAACATTATTATTTCAGCAAACGTAGTCCTTCGTTCCTGCAAAAAACGGAGTGTCAAGAGAACGTTTTTTTTTCCAATGGAACTTCGCTCTTCCGTTTGTTTTAAAAAGCGATGATTGGAATTGTAATAAAACCTAAAAACATGAAAGTGAATTTATATATTTTCTTTGTCCTTGAGAATTGAGAACAAAATAATAAATACCATTTATTTATTATATTGTCTATTTACACTATTGTTATATTTTTATTGGAATTGTTAACAAAACATCGGCTAATTGTCAACTGATTCGAACTTTATAAAATGGTAAATAATAAAGATTCCCGACTATATATTTTAATAATTTAGTAAATAAATTCATATATTTTTGTTCTTGAGAATCTACAACAAAAACATTAAACACTATTTATTTATTAGATGTTTTATTTATAAGAATAATTTTATATTTATAGCGTTCTAAAAACACAACTGTATTAATACTTAAGACTAATACAATATTTATCATTTATTAATTTATAAAGAAATAAACATGAAGACATTGTTTTTGGTTTTCATATTTTCATAAGCCGGTCTGTCCTGCTATATACCCATAGCTGAGGGGAAAAGAAAAGAATTCATACCTTTCCCAAGGGTATTAGCACGGTTTTATTACAATTCTAATAATCACGTTTTGAACCAATAAACATTAGTAGTTAAATAAAATAGTTAAAATAAAAGCGATATCATGGAAAAACACGACCTTTTGACATTCAGTTTATTTGCAGGAACGAAATTCCGTGTTTGACATTATTTCTTATTTGGGCTCGAACAACGACCGATGAATTCATATTGTCTATATGAACGGATCACTCTGATTTGAAATTAACTAAAACTAATGCGTTAAACATTTCAAGAATGCTGAAGAACGCATTGGCTGAAACATTGTGATAAAAACGCGGATTAAGATAATACTTGGGAAATCTGTTGACAAATTTCCTTCAGTCTTTAAAGAGTTTATAAGAGAGATAGAGAGGGAAAGTGTGAAAGAGAGAGAAAAAGAGGAAGAAAGAACAAGGAAGAGAAAGAGGAATCGAACGTTTTAGAAAAGATCCAGATAGATAGATAGATAGATAGATAGAGAGAGAGAGAGAGAGAGAGAGAGAGAGAGAAAGAGAGAAAGAGAGAAAGAGAGAGAGGAAGAAAGAACAAGGAAAATAGCGGAAACTAACATGGATGGCTGAAGCAAAATTTCCAGTGAGAGAGTGAGAGAGAAGGGGGAGAAGGGGGGTAATGAAGATGTAATAAGGATGAGAAAGGAACCGAAAATGCTTAAGTGTTTTAGAAAGTCATGTGTAGATAGAGAACGAGAGAGAGAGAGAGAGAGAGAGAGAGAGAAATAACAAGGACGAGATAGGAACTAAATATTGTGTTTTAGAAAACACAACATAAATGCGACCAATATGGAGAGCAAATAATTTGATATTTATTTTAACAGGTGACACGTTTCCTACCGATATATCTTCTGTATATTGATACCATATTTTATTGCTGAGTCAAGGTAATATATATATATATATATATATATATATATATATATATATATATATGGCTGGGTGGGTGTTTGCGTGCGCGTGTATGCGTGCGTGTGTGATAGATAGATAGATAGATAGATAGATAGATAGATAGATAGATAGATAGATAGATAGAAGGAAGCGTATTTTTGTCTATATAAATGCAAGCGCTTGTGTTTACGATTTGTATGTTGTTAGATAATCATTAACCATCTGTCGCATTCTAAAAATTCCCTAATGATTCAACTTTTATAACTTGTAAATTCTATCGATTTATCAGCATACATTTTTGAATCGATAAATTCCTTGGAGATGAATTCATTAACTTACTTCGATCTTTACAATTTCATGATATATGTAGATATGTAAGTCGATTTTTTTGACTCAGTGTATAGGATCGTCCATACATGTGGCACGTTTAAATAGACGAGGATTTTTGATCCATCATTTACCGGAGTCAAAAAGAGACACTCGTGCTTGATCCAGCATCAAGGTCTTTGATCAGTGAAGTTTTAAAATCTAAACTAAGATACGTTATAAAGTAGATGCGCTTATTGAACGCGAACCAATAAAATTGTTTAATATTTCGAAATGTATCATCAGATTTGTACAGTTTTTTTCGGATTAAAATTCTCTCGTTGGAGCCGCGGTGTGAATCGTAGATCTAGGATTATCTATTTTTATTTCTTTGCTGAATTATTTCAACGGATTAATATTAGTTTAAACTGATTCAAAGACACATTAATAGCGTAACCAATGTGGATTGAACTCTCGCTCTCTCTCTCTCTCTCTGTCTCTCTCTGTCTCTCTCTCTCTCTCTCTCTCTCTCTCTCTCTATATATATATATATATATATATATATATATATATTCAAATAGTGATGATAGATAAAAACTAGCGTTGTTATTTAACAGTGGTCAAGATCAAAGATAGAGCCACGACAAAGTTTGATATAAACCGGTGTTTTTAAAAAACGCTTTTAAATGTACAAATTTCCGAGTCTCTACAAACTTCATATCTATATACTAAATGCGAATGTCAGTGTGTCGCTGTGTCATACTTTTTCAACTTTACTCCGAGAGGCCGTAGCCCAACACTTCATAGCATTTTGGAATCAGGCCGACTCCGTAAGCAAATTCAAAACATTTGTCATTGATTTTCCTAACACACACGCACACACACAGACACACGCACACACACACACAGACACACGCACACACACACACAGACACACGCACACACACACACATATATATATATATATATAATCCAAAGTTCCTTAGTATTTTAGTTATTATTTTAAAAAAATAGTGCTCGATACAAAAGTAGAGTATAAATATAATTATTTATTTAAAAATATGATTCCAACTCGCGACATAAGAAGTCTCATGTTTCAAGATGGAACAGAGCTTACTTTAACTCAATTTAATTCAAATAATTATATTGAAGTTTTCGGCTCTTGCTTTGAAACATGAGAATTCTTATGTGGCGAGTTGGAATCATATTTTTAAATAAATAATTATATTTATGCTCTACTTTTGTATCGAGCACTATTTTTTTAAAATAATAACTAAAATACTAAGGAACTTTGGATTATTTACCTAACCAGTTCCTTCCTATTTTCTATATATTTTCCCATGTCTCATATCGAGAATATTTCACATTGAACATGAAGCAAAATGAATTATTTTTAATAATATGTGGAAATCTCCACTTTTACCTGAAGACGGTCACGAGCCCAGAAACACGTGTCGTAAAATTATGTAAAACAAAGCATAATATTTTTTCTAAATAAATCCACATTACAACCAAAAACGTTAGCGGCACCTCTCTTCTCTTCTTTTTAATATACATACTTTTCTCTCGTTGGAACCACTACAACATATTTCTTTTATATATATATATATATATATATATATATATATATATATGCGTATTTTATTAAAAACAACAGACAAGGTACTACGGTGAAGCTTTTTATTTAATTTTTCTTGTGTTCGAACAAGTGCTTTCTTTTTTGGACAAAGGGTGTGTAAAAACTGTTCAAATATTCTATAATTACGATCGTTTTCGCCTATACTTTTAGCCATTATCGAGGATGATTTTATTTATTCATTTTAATTGAGTGTGTGCGTTGTGTATATAGCTTTAGTGTTATAGAAATGTTTTATTTTCCGAACATAGCCCATTGTGGCCGTATTCGTAGTTAATATTACTTCTACTCCAACAGTTTACTTTCTAGCACTTCCCCCACCTGTGGAACTCATTTCCGTAAATACAATCTTCAAATTTTAAACGCAACGTCAATCGACATCATCTGTTTTCTAGAATAATTTCATTTTTTGTCCCTTCTCCTAATCCTCCTTAATCTCAGTCTTCTCATTCTCTTTTTACTCCCTTTAATCTTCTGCATACTACTGGCTTTACCGCCTTGAATGGGGTGAAATGATTAAAAAAAATTGACACTACTTAAAGGTAGCTGTCGAAAAGAATTAATTCCTCGATTGTTCTTATGGTGATTTTCAAATCGTAGCTTAGATGTGACACAAGGCCGAAATTATGGGGCGCTCAGTTAGGAGTTAATTCCAATCACCTGAAGAAGGCCGGAGCGTACAACGGCCGAAACGTTGTAACAAATATGGCGACAAAGATGGGGACAATAGTCCGACTAATGTAAATACTATACTATCGTATAGTATATTATACGATCGATAGAATAATATAGTACTATATACTATAGATATTATATTATACTATATATTATAGTATAATATACTAAATACTATAGTGCGTATAGTATACTATATACTATAGCAACTAGTAGATGATGAATTTTTGAATCATAAACTGCGAAAACCCGTAACTAATGAAAAGAATCGTTAGGAGTTCACAAAGCGTTTCTTGAATTTTGTAAACATTCGGTGAAAATAACGTTTTCATCATTATAACTTGTTATGGTAATTTACCCACGCACGTATGGACTCTCCTAGCTATAAACAGGAGCAGGTACTGCCTTTTGGAGGGAGAAGTTTCCAGCAGTCAGTTCTGTCAGTCGGACCGAACATTCTTGCGATAATACTCTCGGTTGTATGTTTGTATTACTGTTTCTCTTAATATATTTAACTCAATTCCTTTGTTGTCTTTATTCCTGGCCTTAACAAGGCCACAACATAACTTATTGACGATTTTCACTATGGAAGATCATACGTGTAAACGACCTTTATTTTTTAAAACATAATCATTTTTCTTTAAAGAAGAAATATATGATTTTTATTTTCAATTGAATAAATTAGAAATAAATCACATGCTGGCACATGTGTTAATCACACTGTCATCAGTGATAATATTATATATTATATTATATACTATTGGACTTCAGTTTTTTAATCATTGAAAAATCTTTTCTCCAAAGAAATCAACTTGAAAAAAATTGATTGGTTTAATTCGTTTTCAACAGATTATGAATCCTTTGCAGGTTAATTAACTCATAACAAATTACTAATTAACCCATAACAAATTACTTTTATGACTGAAGAAACGCTCTTCAAAATTTACTACAGCCGTTCCAAGAGTAGCTACGCATAGGCAGTCGAGCAATTACGAAAGCGGCTCCACCAAAATTTGATAATCTGCACATCACGGAATCAATGTCAACCACTTAGCTTTATCAATTGCAAAACCATGACTTAAAATTATAAGTGACTTTAAAACACCGGCAGATGGCTGTGCGAATAGGTCAATGTTCTGCCAGTCATGAAAGAATATTTGTTATTGTCTGCGACAAGGCCAAATTACATTGGTAAAACTGGGAATGCACTTAAAGTAGCAATGGCGTTACAATTTCATTTTTGATACGGCGTTTGCTGTGTGGGGATATTACAATGGGCTCATTATTCGCCAACATTAATTCCTACTGAGTCATTGTTGTGGGCTCTGATATCAAAAGTCAAGTCCGCTGGTACGGCGGAAAGTAATTCAGGATGGGTCAGACATCAATGAAAATATTACTGGCCACCGACTTGAGGTTATCGAAAAAGAAATATTTTCAAGTCCACACAGTATATCAACGTGCTGCTGAGTAAAGTATTTTGAACATTTTAATATGTGTCTTTAAGACATATATTATGTCCTTGAATGACAAAAGTCCTTGTAATCTTGATGGATTTTCATTATTAAACCGTAGTTTAATTTCTGATGTAATTTTAATTCTAATTTTTGCGTTAAAGACGGAATATTCGGCAAGGACAACTGGGAACAAACAGTCTGCATACGGACAAAGAAATACACACAAAAAGGAAAGGGAATGAGATGAGGATGCGATTTTTCATAAGATCTATTAAGACGGACATAGTGTTGTAACAATACGATTTCTCACACATCCTTAGGAGATAAGTAGATAAATTTCTTTTCCTTTTAAGTCCACTTAATAATTTGAGTTTCTTAGGAATTTTGTCTCCAGTTCATCTTTGAGTCAACTTAAGTGTTAGAATTTTCAGGATTTCTGTCTTCAGCCCGCCTTTGAATTGGCAAACATAAAATTATGTCATTGATTTTAGATAATCATAAAAGCAGTCTCAGAAGAAGTGTTATGGAATGAACGAATTTTTTTTTCTTCAACCGTATGAATCCGAATACCTCGTCGCCAAGTTTGTTATGGAGTGATTTCACAGTGGAGGCTTGTATATGTACTAAGTCGGTCCTAAAATAGGTTCGACGTTCAAAACGTTAGGAACTTGATATAATAGGTATAACGCAGAGTAAATCTAGTTGTGGTCGCTGATAGTTTAGTATTCGACTAACTGTCGTCCGACATCGACTGACTGACCAACTCACTGAGCGACTTCTACTACTCCTACTTATTATAGGTGGGAGAGTCTATTAACTATAGAATAGGTGTGTTCCACTATAACAAGAAGCTGACCAGCCAAAAAGCCGAATGGGTGGTTTCTTGTTCCGAAACACAAAGGGACAGATAGGGGTGATCGGACCCCAGCCAGTATCCATATATGCAGAGAGAGGCAAGAAGTTAATAAGTAGGTAGCTGACCAGTAAGTGAGTAGGTAACCAGCGGCCAGTGAGGAAGGGACAAGCGGAGATAGCAGTTAACCATCGAAGCCGAAAGGTAAGATTGGAACTTTAGTGAGAAATCATATTGTTACTATTTCCTAACCAGAGCGTCTTGAAAAATCATTTGTCATTATTCTTTGTGAATTCAATCTCGGCCAAGATGATATAACTATGAACACCCCTAGCCCGCCTTTGAATTGGCAAACATAAGATTTTGTCATTGATTTTAGATAATCATTAAAGTAGTCCCAGAAGAAGCTGACCACTCAAAAAGCCGATCTTGGATATCATCGGGTTTTACAGTGATGGATGAGTAGCGAACGTCATCATAGTGTTAACAACATAAGAAACGCTATAATAGACATTGTAATAATTTCGGACACAAGAATAAAACTCTTAGATTATAGAAACAACATATATTTTTTATATACTTTCTGGTAAAACGTGACTATTTTCCGAACAGCCTAATGTTTAAATAAAATTAATTTACATTTGTTTTAATATCCTTTTAGGTAAAAGTCATTTCTTTCCGAACAGCCTCATAATATTTATTTCTTGGCTGGAAGTAAGAACGCTTCGATCGCCTGTCTATTCATTTTGTGTGTCAACATCATTCTTAGTTTGTGTTCGTTTTGCCATATTACTTTTGCTTTGCTTTATTGCGTTTTTTTTGTTGTTGTTTTTTTGCCTTGCATATTGTTTGCTCAATGCTATTTTTACCCTGTTCTTTTCTTTTGTTTCTCTTGTTATTGTCTATTGCAAATTTTGACAATTCTGTTTGTTGTGAATTTCTGTCAATTACATTTAACCGATTACTCTACACAAGAGAATGTACGAGCGTATGTCAGAAATTATCCGCACTTTCGCCCTAACATATCATTAGGCTTTCCACACTGCCTTCTGCTCATGCGTACTTATACTTGGTACTATTATGCTGACGTGCTCGCTTGATCGCGCCAGTTTTCTTTCTGCTGTTACAGTGTAAACATAGCCGCTCCGCTACCAGTGTGCATCAAGGAGGAACAAAGAGCAGTGATCCGGTTTCTCTGGTTCGGTGCTGTGTCAGGGGCTAAAATTCATCGGAGGCGACATAATACGTCGACAGCGCACTACTGCGTAGAAGTGTGCAGCAGTGGATCGAGAGGTTTGAAAATTGGACGGAGATTCATGACGCACGAAGAATGTGCTGGATGTCCGTAACCTCCACCAATGATGAGAAGATTCAGCAAGCTCGAGAGATGGTAATGGAGAACCGGTGGGTTATAATCGATGTGGCAGCCTGTTCTCTGCAGATTCGGACCAGTGCGCTTGTTCTTTTTGGGACGAAATGAAGATTTCCATGTCATGATAGAACCCATTTGATAATGAGGGAGACTATATACTCTCTATATATATATGAAATGGACAAAGTCCAACAATTATTTTAAGACATTTTTATGCATATACATTCTCCTAAGTCCATTTCATAATGTGTGACGTCATTTGTTTACATTTGATACGCCATGAGCCGATATGAATGTACGTGAGAGACTCATAGAAGTTCAAATACAGTAAATTCAACCTTGCTAACCGAACTCTCCTCTGTGGCCAAATCGGTTAAGGCACGTCAAGCTAAATGACGGTTCCGTATAGGATACAGGTTCGAATCCTGTCGAAGAACGAATATTTTCTGTGAAAATTTCTCGGACATTCAGGCCGGTAAATGTTGTTCAATACTGTTTATTATAAACAGAGCATTTACTTAAATATTTGTACCTATATAAAAAAGAATGTATAAACATAAAAATGTCTTTATTTATATATATATATATATATATATATATATATATATATATATGGCTTTTATTGCTTTGCATATAGGAATATATATATATATATATATATATATATATATATATATATATATATATATATATATATATATATATATATATATATATATATGTGTGCGTGTGTGTGGGGGTGTGGGGGTGTAAAAATATATAGAAAATAGGAAAGAACTCGTTAGGTAAATAATCCAAAGTTCTTTAGTATTTTTGTTATTATTTTTTAAAAATAGTGCTCGATACAAAAGTAGAGCATAAATAAAATTATTTATTTAAAAATATGATTCCAACGCTACATAAGAGTTCTCATGTTTCAAAACAAGTGCCGAAAACTTCAATATAATTATTTGAATTAAACTGAATTAAAGTACCAAGCTCTCTCTCTCTCTCTCTCTCTCTCTCTATATATATATATATATATATATATATATATATATATATATATATATATATAAAATAATTGCGGATGCCACTGTGTCAAACTTTTTTAAAATCAGATCGACTCCGTGAGGAAATTAAAACATTCTTGTTCGGATCCAGGCCCGCAATCCTGAAATTTTTAATTCATAAGTTTTCATTACTGCGATTTTTTTCGATGAATATTTATGTGAATTTTTTGCGACGAAATCTTTGTACGATAACAAGTTTTATAACTTGGAAATAAATTTGGGAATGATAGAAAATAATTACGGAATACAGCGAAATAATTGTTTGTACGGAAAGTAAGGACCTGTGTACATCAAACTGTCTTTAAATTAAGTGGCAGTGGAAAAATTATCGTTGAACTTTTAAAATGCAACGATCAATTTTGAGTTCTTCTGTAGTTCCTATTGCAACTAGTTCTCCCTAACTGTCATGATGAAGTCCCAATCAAGAGCCCTCCGCAGGAGCAATGTTAAATGCCCATAGGACAGCTTATAACCTAGTATATATATACATATATATATATATATATATATATATATATATATATATATATATATATATATATATATCCGAACAATTTGTCTCGGATACTGGTTTCAGTATGTTGTATTACCTTTTTACCTGTGCTTTTTTCCTGTAGGACACATAGGTAGTGATTTTTGAAGTTATAAATCTAATGCCTGTTCTTACCTTGTTAGTAGATCTACTATAGTATTGAGATCTATGCTTGGCCTGCTGATTGGATGATTTGAGCATAACTATTTCTTTTTGTAGTCTTATTCTGCTACTATTTTTTATGCCTGTTATTTCGACTTTGGATATTAATGCATTTTCTGGCTTGACACATGATTAGCTATACCTGATTTCGTCGTATTTCTACGGAACTCAAAAACAAGGACAAGACGATCAAAAGAGAAAATGGGAAGGTAAACACGATCGAAATAGTTAGAGAGCATCGGGAGATAGATAGGTAAAAAATAGAACGAGAATATGAATTAGAGAGACGAAGATGAATGGCCGAGCAGGGGAAGAAGACGTAGAGAGAGAGAAAAAGAGGAAAAGAATGGCGAGGTAATAAAATAGGCAAGTGATACGATGAGAGCGACAGCTTAGAAAATCAGGAAGAGAAAAAGAGGTCAGAGATGGAATAAGATACGAAAAATAAAGGAGTGAGTGTGTGAGAGTGTAAGTGAGTGAATGAAAAATTTAAAAAAAATGGAATAGGAAAGAAAAGTGAACGAAGTGGAAGAAAAGAAGAAAGAAGTGGAAAAGAGAATAAAAACAGGAAAAGAGGGAGAAAGTTTTGGCATAGGCAGGAGACTCGATCATATTCAATTGATTCTTCGAACTTTTACCTGTCCATTCCTTTACTCTGTCAAGCTCTTTGACGTCAAGTTTCATGGATCTTTGTTACCCAAATTGGCTTGGGGCAGATTCTGTTTCGGTGGATGCTATGAAAATATTTACGGACATCAAATTATTTTTTGTCTCCACGCCATATTGAATATTTGGGAAATTACATCTATTCTGTCATTCTATCCCAGTCTGTTTTTCTATCTGTTAAATATTTATCTATCTAAAGAAATCTAAATCGTTCCTGTATCTTTTTGTCTCCAGTCTGCCATGTCTTGAATATCTATCAACAGAAACTGGACTTTCATTATCTATCTATCTATCTATCTATCTATCTATCTATCTATCTATCTATCTATCTATCTATCTATCTACCCCAGTCTGTTCATTTCATCTATCTATCTATCTATCTATCTATCTATCTATCTATCTATCTATATCTATCTGTTCATTATCTATTATCTATCTATCATGATTATCTACTATCAGGCTGTTCATTATCTATAGATATCATCTGTTCATTATATTCTATGTTTCTCTCTATCTACCCCAGTCTGTCTCTATCTCTATCTATCTTTGTTCATTATCTATCTATCTATCTATCTATCTATCTTCTCATAATCTGTCTCTCTAGATACTCTCGCGTTCTTTCTCTCTCTCTCTCTCTCACTATATATATATATATATATATATATATATATATATATATATATTTCTGTGATTGTGTATTCATCGACCGCAGACAATTCATAATCAAAAAAAAATGTCGCCATAAAATTATATGTGTGTGTATGTCTGTGTTTTGTGAAGTAACTCCCCATTTTAAAATACTTATAATTTATTTATTAACTATAAT